GTTAAGATTCAAAGAAGTTAACTCATTTTCTCAAGATGACATAGCCAGGACCTCAGACAATTTGTCTCTGGAACACATCTGCTTTTTACTGCTGTGCTGTACCTATTCTTTAAATGGGGCAAGATCAGCACAATTCACCATAGCTAAGATCTGGAAACAGCCTAAGTGTCCATCAGTAGATGAATGGATTAGAAAACTGTGGTACATCTACAGGATGGAATACTATGCTGCTGTAAAAAAGAAGGAACTCTTACCATTTGCAACGGCATGGATGGAACTGGAGAGCATTATGCTAAGTGAAATAAGCCAGTCAATGAAGGAAAAATGCCACATGATCTCACTCATTCACGGATAATAGAGACCATTATAAACTATTCAACAATAATAGGTACAGAGGCAGAGCTGCCTCAAACAGATTGTCAAACTGCAGCAGGAAGGCTGGGGAGAGTAGGGGGGCGGGCAGAGGTAGGGGGGTAAGAGATCAACCGAAGGACTTTCAAAATATCCGTAATAAGGAAGGGATTCTTACTCCTGATATAGGGATGAAGATTTTAAGATTCAACGAAGTTAACTCGTTTTCTCAAGATGACATAGCCAGGACACTGGACAATGTGTCTCTGGAACACGTCTGCTTTTTACTGCTGGGCTGTACCTATTCTTTAAATGGGGCAAGATCACCCCTCCTCTAAACTCCTTAAGGAATCCTTCTGATTGTCTTGATAGGAATCATGCATGCCTTGCAGGACTGTCTTCCTGTATATGACTGTGAACTTTAAGCTCCTTGAGAGCATCCTTGTGCCCTGCATATGCAAGCCTGATCATCAGGAGGTCCACACTGGAATGTGGTTCCATTTTACATATTGAAATAGCCCTTCAGGCACCTCACCCACCGACCCAGCTGTGTGGATCCCTCTCTTTGGAATCCCTGCTTCTCCTTACAATTCAGCAACTGAAGGATTCACACCTAGCACAAGTGGCAGCCTCAAACCCCTGTTCCTGCCCTAGCTGGTTTGGCTCAGTGGATGGAGCGTCTGCCTGAGGATTCAAGGGCCCCAGGTTTGATACCAGTCAAGGGCATGTACCTTGGTTGTGGGCACATCCCCAGTTGGGGGGTGTGCAGGAGGCAGCTGATCGATGTTTCTCTCTCATTGATGTTTCTAACTCTCTATCCCTCTCCCTTCCTCTCTGTAAAAAACCAATAAAATATATTTAAAAACAAACAAACCTGCTCCTTCACCGAGATCTCTACTCCTTGGATACTGGAGCATCGTGGCATTCTGGTACCAGCAATGGTAGCAAAAAAATAACTGTCAAAGTCACATAGTGAATATGGCATCCCACTGAATTTACTGTGCGCCGGTAACTCCCTGTTTGTGAGGTGAGGCACTACTAGGCAAATGGAAGGCAGATTGCAATGACTGCAATTTTTAATCACTTAGCATCCGATGAAGGCTGTGACTATCTTGGCGAGCAGCTATAGAGGCATGGGCTCACCATCACCACCATCATCATCATCTAGGGAACATTCCTTTTGTTTGTCTGGGCTCTGCCCCATCATTGCCTCAGGCTTCCCTGAATCCTGTAGCAACAGGAGTTCTGCTTAAATCCAAAGCACGGATCCTTCCCCCTGGGATTCTGCCACAGAGAAGACTTGGTAATTTTTTTAAACGCTCATTAAAAACCATTCTGAAACTATTTCATTTCCTGGATTAAAATGGAATTGCATTAGCCCAACCAGACCTGTCCTGGAAATTTAGAAGAAAATTGTGCATAAATACACAGTTAATTTACTCAAGTAAGCACACACCTGCTTTTTGCAATACAAAATGCTCCTATTTTCATACCCGCAGCTGTCCCTGGGTCTGAGTTACATAAATGAATAATGCATTTAATATGTTATTAAATGGGGCTGCTGCCTCCACAATAACAAGGCAACTTATGATTATGTTGGACCTAAGCTCTGAATATTGCTGGGATGCATTTAGTGGATAAAGCACTCTTCAATCTACCAAGAAGAAAAGCGATCTCTAATGGCAGGGGAGTCTGTACAATTACTGGAAAGGAAACATTCTGCAAGTGTGCCTTTGATATCACCGACCACTCATCAGTAGATAGTGTCTTATTACTTCAACAACCCCGATTCAACTATTCTCTTCTTATCTTGATACTCCTGTCACCTTTTCCTTTTTATCTCTACCTTCTTTGATTCTGCTTCTGTTATTTCTGCCAGTTTTAAAAAAGATGAAGGCCATAGTTTCCCTTTGTGAGAATAAAACTGTTATTTTATTATTTAATAGGCTTTTTTTAATCTTGCGATTTGGGTTGGAATACAGATGTTTATGACTATTCAGTCTATGATGAGGTGACAATATGGTCATGCTCAGCCCATAGAAATCCTGTCCGCTCTTTAGGATCACTGGGAGGAACATTTAAAATAAAATGAATGATGCCCTGGCTGGTGTGGCTCAGTTGGTTGAGCATCATCCCATGCACCGAAAGGTCACTGGTTCCCACATGCCTGGGATGCAGCTCAATCCCCAGTGTGGGGCATGCGGGAGGCAGCAGAACATTGTTTCTCTCCTCCCTTCCTCTCTCTAAAATCAATAAAAACATACTTTTAAAAAATAATAAAATAAAAGAATGCCAAGAGAACTCCTCCAGGAATCATGATTAAACTGAGAATTCTGGGTATCTGTGTGT